GCGTGCAGACAGCAGTGTAAAAGCAGAAAACAGCTAAAATTTGAGCAAATACAACGAACTCACAGAGTACAAGGTGTAAGTCATTTTTTGGGGGGCGGGCAATACCACAACTCAATTTCTTTTACATATGGCACGAACTCGACAGCAGCTGTAGAAAATTACAGTGCTATCGTGGCTTCAAGATAACACTGTAACTCATCTTTGGTCAAGTTCGTGGGCGCAAATTTGTTAGCAGAAACTCATTGGTCTCTGGACTGTGTAAATGCTGGATGCGTAGACAGTTTCACAACTCCCTCGCAAATAGTGCACGACTTCAGGCACAGGAGCTGTCCACAGTTGTTCAGGAACGTCTACGTCAAAATCATCCCGACAAAAGAACGGAATGCGCGCAAGTTGAAGCGCGAATGTGGCACTTAATGAGTTTTATTTGAACTACGACCTTGTGGGCGACCTTGTGGATCGCGCAAAATCGAGCGGTTTTCCTCCAAGAAGAGGTTTCTATCACAGGCAGTGTAACGGGGTGAATCGTTACATAACAATTTATGAGAAATTGATAGTAGAATATTACTATAAGAGTTATATTCTCACAATATTGTCGTAAGGACAAATATTCTGTAGCAATTACGAGTAGTTCCTAATTGGTTGATATAGGCCATTATATCAACCAACGAAGACGCGCCACGACAGACGCACGCAATGAGTGGTGAGCAGATATTTAATTTACACATTTGTATTTAGACATAGTTAGATGAAGATAAATAGTGATTTATTGCAGACATTAACTGTTATAAATACAGCTCTACTTTTTACTCTAGCCAAGTACTCGCTTCTTCTTACCGTCTTCCTCTGCACGTACGAGTGTACGTGAAGTTACGAGGCACCGCCTTATTCTGTCATCAGAATAAGTAGCTTGTACTGTCACCAGTACAAGCTTCAGGGTGCCCCGTTACACCTGGTAGCACTTCGTAGTCCGTCCAAGGACCACGTTCACATCTAACGTGAATATGTTGGATGATGAAGATGACCAAAGTTTTCACGCTACGCGTGACGGCTACTCCCATTTGAGCGATGTCGAATGGGATGCGGTTGAACGAATGGGTTCGACCATGGGCATCCATGCTGTTAGCGTCATTCTAGAGGCTCTCAATAGAGATGCCCAACATGCTACTATCGCCAAGTTCATTCAAAATGAACTTGACGCTGAACGCGAGAAAGTAGCCTTGCTTCACCAACAAGGCTCTCAACAAGCAGAGTTGTTGAGAGAACAGGGTGCTCAACAGTTTGAACTGTTGAGACAGCAGCAGGCTGCTGCTGGTGGGTCGATGCACTCGCGTCGACCCGAGACCTTGAAGATTGACATCTATAAGTATAGGGGAGTCGAAGAGGACTCCCTCTTGAGATGGTTTGTCGAATTGGATGACGCCATAAGGGCGCGTCGCATCGATTATGGGGAAATGCAAGTTGCATTTACCCAGTCAAATCTGGCAGGACGTGCCAAGACTTGGGCACTGGGGCTCAAGTTGCACGACCCATATGCGTTTGGGTCGTTGGAAGTCTTCAAGTCGCGGCTCAGACAAACGTTTGAACCGCCTAGAGCTGAGTTCAGAGCTTGGACTGAACTCTTGAAGCTCAAACAAGGTGAGCGTGATGTGCACGCTTACGCGCAACATATACGACATCTCACGAGCTGTATAAGTTCCAACCCGGTTGATGAACACACGTTGGTTTCGGTGCTCATGCAGGGTCTTGCGGATGGTCCCGTCAAGACTCACCTGTTCCGGCTTGAACTAGATTCACTAGAACAAGCCATTTACATTGAGGAACAGGAAGACTTCAGTCTGAGACAGGCTCGTGCCAGCTCGACATCATATCGTCAACCGAGACGATGTGACAGCGGAGGTCCAGAGCCGATGGAACTCTGTTATGTAGAGAGCGAGAAGGCTCGCTCTACAGGCTACATAAAGTTGCAGAGATGCAACAGATGTCAAAAGACAGGACAATACGCTTACGAGTGTAGTGCCCCTCGTCCAGTGTCTCGCGACACTGGGCGTAGTGACCGTCCACCCATAAGAAAGGGGCAGGGACGAGGGTCCGCAGTTGGTGCAAAGACGCAACAACGGGATGGACCGTCAAAAAACGGACAGGATCAGTAGGTGCGGAGCACCCTACTGGTCTAGCAACGTCAAGAGAATTTGTAGGCCTCTTGATGAAGGTTGCTCCCAACGCAAAAACATTGTGCGTTGCTGCTCTAGGTAATGAGGTCTCACTCATTACCTTGAAACTCGAAGTGACGAATAAGTTGTCCCTTCGAGCTCTAGTCGATTGTGGGGCGTCCAACAATTTTGTGCGACGCCAATCGCTAGAAGATGGTCACTTTAAGTTCAGTGAATGTGACGCACCTCCTACGAGGATGACGGTACGTCTTGCGACAGGCGCATCCGTAACCGTCATGAAGCGTATCGTGAAGATCCACTATACGCTAGAAGATACCCAATATGACGATGACTTTATCGTATTGGATTTGGATGACAAATTTGATGTCATCCTTGGAATACCGTGGCTCAGAAGGTACGAACCACGGGTAAACTGGCAACATCGGACAGTAACGATGCCTGCCGCTTGTTCATCAGATGGCCATCTGATGAACGTTTTGGAGCGTCCACTAGCGTGTGGATGTACTACGAGTGAGTGCGATGGCCTCACTTGTGGTACGGTCGTTAGTACGACTGCACAAAACCTTAGTGTACCAAACGGTTACACTTCGGAGCAAAGTTCCGGCGGCTGTGAGGAAACACAGGCTGCGCCGAAGGTCCATTACTCGAATAAGTCGGGTGGACTGGGACAAAGATGTATCCCTGGCGGGAACATCTCGAAGAGAAACGATCGATCGCTCAGGTTAAGCGCAACGATAATCCTAGATCGACTGGAGAGTCTTTCGTAGAGGATCTCGCTGTGGTTGCGCAACCACAGCTAGAGGAAGTTAAGGGTATAAGTCCCAAGATTACAAATACGGCGGAAATAAGTTCCCCGAAACCCGCGGGAATAAGTACCCGGGAAGCCGAAGGAATAAGTCCTTCGAAGCCTGAGGGAATAAGTCCCCAGGAAATGACAGAGACATTGAATGTCCTAGTCAATGATGGATCAAGTGTAGGCGCTTATACACTTGATCTAATTGCGCCTCCGAAGTTGACTTCGGAGATCACTCAGTTGCCAACGCTCGAACATAAAAGGTTCGTGCGTGATCTGCGTAGTGGCAAAGTCAAGCAGATCTGCGTACTCGTCGCTGACGACGAGTGCGTAGCCGACATAAGGTCAGCAACAGTGTTCACTGAGAACGAGAGAGTTCTCAGTAGTTCATCTATGGACGAGAGTGCCCTCGATGATTAGACACGAGTTGAGCGATATGACTCCCAATCGTGGGAATCGCTCAAGACAAATCCTCTCTATGAATATTTGGTTGAATTCAAGGATGTATTCCCTGAAACTGTTCCGTGCGAATTACCGAAGGATAAAGGTATTCGACACGAGGTCGAGCTTAAACCAGGCTCGAAGTACTGTGTCATGAAGCAGTGGCCACTACCTCGTGAACAAGTACTTGCGATCGACAAGTTCTTTGCCGATCGTTTAGCAGCGGGCCATGTGAGGAAATCAATTTCCCCACATAGCTCTCCGACCTTCTGTGTGCGAAAAGCAACAGGAGGGTGGGGGATTGTGCATGCATTTAACAAGTTGAATGCTGCAACGGTACCGGCTAACCAGATGATATTGATCTGCGCTTGCGGATCATGTTCGAGTATCACGATGCTGCTATAGGAGGACATCGTGGCCGGGAGAAAATATAGCTCACGGTGAGTCGAGACTTTTACTGGCCCCGCCAGTATCAGTTTGTGCGAAAGTATGTTCGCGCATGCGAAGTCTGTCAACGAGTGAAGTCAAGTCCTTCACTTCGTGCACCTTTACAGCCTCTACCGGTTCCGGCTGAGTGCTGGGAATCCATCTCATTGGATTTCGTCTTCGGGTTACCCAAAGACGCACGCGGGAATACGGGTATTCTCGTATTTGTTGACAGATTCAGCAAAATGGTACACCTTGTGGCTGTACCAGAGACAATCACGGCATGTGGATGTGCTTGTGTCTTTATTGACACCATCTTCCGACTTCATGGGTTGCCCCGTGAACTTGTATCAGACAGAGATCCACGATTCACTGCTGATTTCTGGCGTTCCGTGTTCAAATCACTCGGAACGCACTTGAAGATGTCTACATCTGATCATCCAGAGTCAGATGGTCAGACGGAACGTGCCAATCGTGTCCTTGAAGAGATGCTTCGAGGATACGTACACTCCTTTAAGAGTTGGAGTGCGTTCTTGCCAATGGTAGAGTTTGCCATTAACAACTCGGTGCATGCGTCCACGACACATACACCGTTTTACGTGAATGGCTTACGCCATCCGCGTGTACCCACCTTACTAGAGTGTAACTCTGGTTTAAGGGGGGAGGGACTCGCGCGAGCAAAAACCGAATTGGTTCACGCTCATCACGCTCTGACGAAAAGGTAATTGCGTTTGATGCCGATATCGATAACATCGATATCGAAGAAGATGATGCCAGTGAGAGTGCGGAAGCCCTCACTGAAGAAAAGGTTGATGTTGCTGCAGTGCGCTCACAGCGCACTGAAGCTAACGAGTCATCAGATGAGTTCATACTGGCTCGTGAAACGGTAGTCCGTTTTGCGCAAGACTCCATCGCCGAAGCGGTGCATAAGCAAAAGCAAAACGCTGACAAGAATGGAAGGGCAAACACTCTTTTATTTAACTAAGGTGACTTAGTCCTACTGTCTACGGTTAATCTATCAAAGCATGTAGTGACTAACTTGGGTAGCAGTAAACTACAACCCAAGTACATCGGCCCATTCCGTGTATTGCACCGCCTAGGCAATGCATACACGATCGAGTTGCCACGTAAGATGCGAACGCATCCCACGTTTTACGTTGGTCGGCTTAAGCCGTACCATCAGTACGCTGCTTCTTCCGATGAAGAACGCCCTTGCGCTCAAGCATCTCGCATAGAGCCTTGTGCTCCCGATGGTGGGCATCGACAAGGGTCTGAAGAGCAGTTATCTCATCCCGAGACCGATCAACAATCCCACGAGCTACCCTTAGCTCGTCACGAAGAGATGTCAGAGATCTCTCGTTCTCAAGCTGAGCAAAGGCAAACTCAGCTCGATGCTTCAAGACAGTGTCCGCCATTTGGAGAGGCCTGTCCCGCTCATGTTCGAGATCGTTGCGTAACCCTTGCGTTACGCGATCAAAGAAGCTCTCGGGAACACACGGATCCACACGATCATGTGGAGAGCGTCGTTCCTCCTCCTCCACCTCCACCTCCACTAGAGGACTCTCGCGGTGGCCAGCGCTATCTAGTTGAGCAGCTGTTGAACCACCGCGACGCGAACAAACGTCGGACGAGTTATCTCGTCCGGTGGCGCGGCTATCCCTCGTCCTGGGATACTTGGGAGCCCCGCTACCAACTGATGATTGACGTACTGGGTCTGGTTGAGCAGTACGACGCGGCACATCCTGTGCCGCAGAAGGACTACCGGAGAAAGACTTCCCGGCACGGTCGTAAAGGGATTTCAGGTTTTCAATCCCTTCGTACATCTCAGTAAAGATACGTACGCACCACCACGGGCTAGTAAGAAGGTAAGCCTCCTTAGGTGCTCGTGCAGAGTTGTTCACACAACATGGGCACGAGTCTCCCCAAGAGAGGCAGGGTAATCCCTTCTCCCTTGACGGACGATGCAGCTTGTAGCGTGCACCTGTCGGGGTTCGCTTTTTAAACTTATCACGAGCTTTGATAAGTTTGTCGTTCCAAGCGTCACGACCTACATCCTCAAAGTTATGGATGTAGGCGTTCCACGCCTAAAGCAGTGAGGGACCATCACGATTGTGATTCCCACTGTACCATCGATGCTTGAAGAAAGCATCGATGAAGAAATCATGTTCAGCGCGATAGTTTTTTCGCGCTGGGGTCAAGGTGATGGATCCTTGACGAATCGAACACTCGTGTTCGATAACGATCACCCGTCGTCGCCGACAAGTGATCCATGACGGATTTTGGAGGCATCCATGCCTTCTTCTCGGGAGCGAGACGCAAGACATTGCGATCCCGCTCTTCCTGCGATGTGCCGACAGAAGTACTGGCACCTCACTGTGAAGTGGTGTCCATAGGAGAACCGACACCACTGTTAGCGCCCGAGTCTCGCGACCTCGAGCGCCTTCGCTTCAGCGATGGTTCATCTGATTCATCAGATGAACCAAAGATGCTGCGACGCATAGCATCATCCATGCCACGCTTGGCAGGCGGCTTGGATTCAATCGCCGTCGATACGGATCCGTCTTCCGTATCAGGAGAGTATAAGACACCGATCTCATACTCTGTGAAGACATGAGTGTCTTCATGACCAGCGCCTGCATCACCAAGTGACGCAGGCTGAGTCGCTTCAGCAACCGATGAGACATCAGTTGCTGTGGTTTCTGCTTCGGTGTCCGCACAGAGACGTGCGGACGCGCTCTCGGCGGCCTTGCTAGCGCATCGCATGGGCTTGTTTACCATGCGATGAACTGATGGAAAGTGGACTCGGACAAACAAGTGCGAACCCTGTCCCAAATGATTTGGGACGAGTATCCATTTAGTCAATCAGTCACTAAAGTGACTGATGGTTAAGGGGGGGGTGATGTAACGGGGTGAATCGTTACATGACAATTTATGAGAAATTGCTAATAGAATATAACTATTCGAGTTATATTCTCACAATATTGTCGTAAGGACAAATATTCTGTAGCACTTACAAGTAGTTCCTAATTGGTTGATATAGGCCATTATATCAACCAACGAAGACGCGCCACGACAGACGCACGCAATGAGTGGTGAGCAGATATTTAATTTACACATTTGTATTTAGACATAGTTAGATGAAGATAAATAGTGATTTATTGCAGACATTAACTGTTATAAATACAGCTCTACTTTTTACTTTAACCAAGTACTCGCTTCTTCTTACCGTCTTCCTCTGCACGTACGAGTGTACGTGAAGTTCCGAGGCACCGCCTTAGTCTGTCATCAGAATAAGTAGCTTGTACTGTTACCAGTACAAGCTTCAGGGTGCCCCGTTACAGGCAGTGTCACGGAATTATGTGAGACCGGAATGCGACAAAGACGTGTGATCGCGAAGTGCGAGTTTCGAAGGGACGACGCAAAAATCATAGGCACACGCAGATTACGCTGCCACCGAGAAATTGGTGGGCAAACCCGAGAGCCGTCATCTCAGGTGGAATGTTCCTATGACTACCGGACTCGATAGAGGGACAGGCGTTGCTATCTAGGCTTATGATACATTAGACATCCAGCAACTTCAATCACAAATATTCAATACACTCGTCTGCATTGTAAATGTCACTCTTTGATCAGGTCACTGATCAAAGAGTGACATACGCAACCCTGCAGATTTTTTATCACACACATGCACCAAGGCACGCACGTAATTGGCTTACGACGATATGGGGTGAACAAAGGGGACAACAAGCAAATGCGAGATACCCAGGGGCAACAAAAGTTTCGCACCTTTCACAAACAATAAATGTGAAGTCGGGTAGACCTGAATTACTTGAATCATCAAACAGCGAGATGGTACGGTTACGTTTTTACCCCTCATTTAGCAGTGGAAGCTCGACCATATTTTTTTTTAATCAAGCTTGGTGTCGTCAGCCGCATTTCGTGGATGACGGCGTTACTGAGCAGGATCATCCTTCGTCTCTCTCGTATCACACTCGTCTCTTCAGAACATCAACAACATCAACAAGTACATTCAGCACACAAAGGCCTATTAGCACTGTCATCTTCAGCGCAAATAGCGCAGCCCATTTCCGAGCCGCTAACCACCCACTATGGAACGTGAATATAACGAACTTGATTCAGTTCCTCGGACTGAAGTTCTTACAATATTGATATAATCTGCAAGCCTTAGTGTGATGCACTGACCGAGCAATACTAATTTGCCTCGCTTAGCAGCTTGTTCACATGAGCCAATAATGCTTATTCATTACTAAAGCGGCTTATCGGCAGACAAATCCGCCTTGCTCATCGAAAAGCGCTCGCTTGCAGCAAGACTTAAATACAGAAGAGCACGTGCGTTTCTTGCGGCCTGGAGCCACAAGCTCACACCGATGTGCATTTCGAACATTCTCGACGTTATTTCGAGCGAGCTAAATACCTTGCCTCCGCTATCTGATTCAACGTAGTTTAGAGACCCCCTCTTGCAGCAAGTACCTTAACATAAACACACATCGCTGGCAAAAAAAAGCAGCAGTCGACGTCATGCCGTGACGAAATGTGATCTCTCTGATTAAGTATGGACAAGAAGAGGCTTCAGACAAAGGTAGTACCAGTCAGCAAAAAAAGCGGATGAGATGACTAAGTCCGAAACGCCTGGTCACAATCGGATTTGCTTCCTACTCTGCAAGTAAAGATCGAGGTGTGTCCAGCGCTCGGCCATTGTCTCTCCTCTACCCATTTTGCCGTCGTGCATGCCTCTAAAATGGCTCCCCACTTCGGGTACGCCCTTTCTTTGATCCTCTCTGGCATCACCTTGAGAGTAATCCTATTTTTGTCGCTCCCTCATCCGTTCTTATGACCCTCTAATGCGATGAACAACTCCACTGCCTCACTCTTGATCTCATTTGATTGACAGACAGGAAGCCACGTCGACAGCGATCAAGCACAGCGTCAAGACCTCAAAGCCTCAGACAATCATCCCTTCAACGGACGCACTTGTGCACTTGATGAGGCTCAAGAACTCACCCTATTTGGGGTTCCAAGTGGACGGGGCGGCAGCCTATCCGGACGCCTCGTCGGCTCTAGAATCAGCCGAACGTTGCATTCTGGAGGATCCACAGGACAAACCCGTGGCTACTGTTAAGCCGCAAGCTCGAGCTCACCCTCCAGCTCCAGCGGTGACGCAGTCTGCATCTATGCGTCCTCGTCAACGGGACGTACTCGTACGTCAAGTATCCATGAGACTCTACCGGAAAGGAGAAGACGTGGCTCAAGATGTGCTGCAGAACGTCGCCCCGTCGCGACTGGCCGATGCTGAGAAGGTCTGTGGAGACGCGCAGTCAAGTCTTGAGCACGAGATTCGCAACTCGAAGAAGACGAGGAAACATCTGTGGCTGCCGAAGACACAGGACGACTCAGTGCTGCTGAAGTCGTCCGAGTGTAAGGACGACGAGGACCGAGATTGCGTGACTCTATCGGCAGTCGAAGCCTTTTTCGTCTCTCGTGTCACTGACCCGACATCGTATTTCTACCGCTTTCATTACGATGATTCTCGTCACTTGGGTCCTCGTAAAGCAGAGGTGCAGCTTGTAGACCTGACGTGGCTCAAACCTCATGAACAAATTGTGAGCTGGGAACGTGTAAATGGACTGAGGAAAGCGACGCTGTCGTGGGATGCTTACACGGAGCCTCTGCTTGTGGATATTAAGACCGGTGCAATCTTAGATGGCCATCATCGTTACAATGTGGCGCTGCAATTACGTCTGAAGCAAGTACCTGCCGTTTTGGTGGACTATTTGGGGGACACGACGATTCAAGTGAGCGTCTGGCCAGGATGTGGACGACTACATTTAACAAAGGAAGAAGTGATTGCAATGGCCCTTTCCCTGGATGTGTTTCCACCAAAGACTAGTCGACATAGGTTTACTGAGAGTCTACCACCAATTTCCATCCCGTTGTCGGTGCTGCGTCAGCCACCCCTTCCTGTGGAGACGGTTATTGCTCAAGCAACAACACCGTCAGTCTTAAGCGAAGGAATGCAGGCTATTACGCTGCACTTGCTCGAGCGCAAGCAAAGTCTGCAGCGCGTATCGATTCGTTTGATATGTGGAGCCCAGAACTTGGCTACGTCGGTGACTAAGAGTTTGTTCCGTGGTCGACTACGTGCGCACGATCGTGTTCGCTATTCTACACAGATGGACTTGATCATAAAGCCACTGTTCGATACGAAGGATTTTTTCAATGCCATTCGTGAAAATGATTTGACGTCGAGCTTTTGTCAACACAAGGCAGCGACACTCGAAGACCTTTTGTCCGACGACATCGATCGTCGCCAAAAGTTTTTGCTGACGCGTATCGCTGACCCGACGTCATATTTCTACAAGTTTCACTTTGACGTCCATGCACAGCGGCAACCAAAGAGGTCGATGATACACCTCGCATCACTGCAATGGCTCAAGCCTCATGAGCACGTCGTGAGTTGGGAACGAGTCGATGGATTGCGTCGCGCTACTGTTTCCTGGAATGCGTATCTGGAGCCGCTGCTTGTGGACAGAGCTACCGGTGCGATCTTGGATGGCCATCACCGTTACAATGTGGGCATCCAGCTGGAGCTGCAATGTGTGCCAGTAGTGCTGGTGGACTATCTGGAGGACGAAACGATCACAGTGGATGTGTGGCCAGAGTGTGGCCGCGATTCGCTTACGAAGCAGGAGGTGATCGATGTCTCGCTGTCCGACGATCTTTTTCCACCCAAGACGAGTCGCCACTCGTTTTCCGACGATTTACCGCCGATTTCGGTGCCGCTCGAGCGACTGATGACGTCAGTGGGTTGCAACTACGTTTTGATGTAGACTGGTATGGAGCGTCTGTGTGGCTTGCATGTTACAGTGATTAATCACGTGAAAGCAGTAGGTTTTGTCGCTTGCCTGCCTTATGCTCTTTTTGCTCTCATTGGAGCTGTTCTTGAAAAAGAAACGGGCAGAGTTTTTTTTTGGCTTACATGGATCTTGTAAGCTCAGTCATTTCTATGTCATATTCAAATCGTTCGAATCACCATGCCTAAGTCGCTATTTTTTATGTAGCTCTGTTATGCAGACTTGGGTTTACAACAGCGGTGATCTTCATTGCAACAAACGACCGATGCCGCTGCCATCTTATCAAATGTAGAAGAAGGTTGCATCAATCCGTCTCTCTCATTAGTTCACGATTAGCTCTGTGGTGAGTCTTGAATGACGCGAATCGCGTCAGACATGGCGAGTTTATAGGTATGGTAAACCAGACCGACAGCTCAATGTCCTTCGTGACACACACGATGCAGACTCTCTAGTTGTCATATGATCATCCAGCATGCAGTGTGCATGACATGGCAAGATTCAAGAGCCAAATGACAAGTGCATGGCCGCGAGTAGGACTTACATCAATTGCGTCCTAAACAGACAATTTGCCGCCTACAGAATACAGATTGGTGAGTATCGCAGCCGTTCGAATGCCATTTTACCACACGATATTTTTAACTGAAGTATCGCTAGTATCCAGTACGACGTCAGCACATGTGCGGGTCTTGTTCAGAAGTAGCCTGGCCATCGTATGAGACCATATGTAATGTTGACCCTCCCCAAGCAAAACTAAACGGCAAAGTTGATTTTTCTAAAATAGCTCGGGGGTTCGCATCCATTATCTTCGTCGAGACTTTAACATCGCACGAATATATCCCCTACCACCTTGTGTACGTCTTCGGCGACATGAGCACTGCTATCATGTTACCTGGCACCCGTTCGGACCTCTAGTTCACAGTTCGAAGATACGGGACTGCGTACATAAGATTGAAGTGCATGACTACAATGTTTGTGATTCCAAACGGAAGAGTCGAAAAAGTAACATCTCACGAATACCTAGATAATAAGACGTGTTCGATTGCGAAATTTCCTCGTTCACTACGCGCTTCGTTTAGTTGTACGATAAATTTAGAAACAATCAACTTGATTATTTTTTGGGAAGAGTATTGTCAAATACACCCAGCTTTTTACTAAATACATCCTATACACCACACCCACAACACACCACAATATGGTTCGTACGACAACATCGCGTCACCATTCCTCTGTAAGACCACTATCGCACGGCATTCTGCATCAATCGTACAAATGTTAAATGATCAAGCAACCTTTGTTCAGCTAAAAATGGACGACTTAAAATCTTTGTGTTTGTAAACGATTTGATCGACACCCCACGACGCACTTGTCACTACATGTAAAATACCTCTGGGGCGCTATTTGTATCATTCAAAATGGCAACAGCCAGATTGCAGTCGGGAAGGGTACATAATATGATTGAAACAAAGGCTCACATGTCACGAATGTAGTCGGATGCATCCGTTGCAGCGAATATCACCTCTACAAAAACGAAACTGCATTGTACAGCCATATGTACTATTAGTCGAGCCTATCCTGATATTGCGTCAGGACCGGTCCCTAGCCTGTGTAAGAAAACTTGATTGGTAAATCAGTCTACATTTGTACGATCGATGCCGATCGTAGTGCAGTAGCGGTCGTACAGAGGTATGGTGTCGCGATATTTGTCATACTACCATGTTGTGGTTTAATATTAGTGTGATATATGAGTGTGTTAGGTGAAAAGTGGGGTGTAGAATGAGTGTGTCGTAGGGCGTCGGATAAGTCGTTCAGGAAAGGAAAGCGCTTCAAATGTCAATTGCAAGCTACCAAAAATTTGCTTCGGTAAATCATTTAGCATTTGTACGATTGATGCAGAACCCTGTGCGACAGTGGTCGTACAGAGATGTGGCTGCGAAATGTTTGTCGTACGAATCATATTGTGGAGTGGTATAGGTGTGGTGTATGAAATGTATTTAGAAAAAAAATGGGATGTATTTAACAATACCCTAAAATCAGTGGGGCTGAAAAAAGCATTTGTTAAACTTTAGTATTTGTATGGAATCACCTAATTCACTTTTACTTTTATGATACGAGTAATACAGGGGTCACTTTCGGTCACTTGACATCGGTCGGTCACTCACATCCCTGGATATCATAGGCTGCTCTACAAGCACCAATTCAATCTAGCATTGCAATGCATGAGAACGTTACGAGGTGAGCGAGCCGCATGCGTTATCCAAATTTCCAGTATCAAAGAGAGATGAAACATGTTCACAATAGGGCATGCAGAGCCACAAACTCGCCAAGAAAGCGGTGAATTCTAATAGACACACTCCAGCCGCAGCACTGTGACGTCGTGGGCTAAGCAACTTATGCAATGTCAAAACACAAAGAAGGCCGCAAAGAAAGTCTAGTTAGCCCAAGTCGTACTCGGTATACTTTAAGCCTCGCTGCGTCAGTCAATTGCTGCTACCACCTTATTCTTGCAGTGTCCTCAGCGCTACTACCTATAACACCACGATGAAAACTATCAATTTCGTGCGTATCTTTATTTGCACACTGACCTAGTAGAGACCCCTCACAGTTCCTCCCCATTGTCAGACCGAGGAGCGGCCCGCCACGCCGTTTTAGCGTTGTGAACACCGAGAAGCTTGTCGCAATCGGTCATCTTCACTGGCATAGGGACAAGCGTCGCTTCAAAATCGATGGCAGTGGCGTTTGGAACATTCACCTCAAACTCCTGGTCCGTGAGGTAGCAGCACACAAAGTCATGAAAGTGGTTGAAGGCGTAGACGCGTTCGTTATCATCCATGTCTATGGATCGCTTTGCCGTACCGAAGAGCAGCATTCGAACTTCCGGGGACGTGCCTAGACACATGTCACGCGGCGAAAATGTTGGACGATATTGCACGGGAATCAAGCACGCATCGGTAGGCTGGACGGTATTGAAGCTCAGCCCCGTGCTATTTGACGTAGCATTATTCATTTTCCCAGACAGGATTTGAGCCGTTTTCGCGAACGAGGAGATGAACGGAGTGATGAGCAGGACCGGAATATCGATCATGTGCATGAAGAGCATCATCCCCATCAGCACATTGGAGACGATGACACCAAAACTTCCAAAGACAGCGTAAACACCCATCAGCAGCCCATGCATTGAGGCGAATCCAGAACCCAGTAGTACAATGGCATTTGAAGTGAATTCGGATGGGTGGTGCCGAATGAACAGGAATGTGCCGCCAACAACGTTTTTGAACGTGCGTTTCGGCTCTTTCATCAATAACCCGTGCATGGTCATGACGTTCTGGCCAAACTTGTGGAAAAACTCGGAGACTTGGCGCATGCCGACACGAGGGTGATGAAGAGTGTGAATGATCCACTCGACCGCGTCTGCAATCATCTGCACGACCAGAATGGTGGTGTCCGACACGAAGTCCACCGAGTCCTTGAGTACTTTCTTGACTTTCTCTGACAACGGCAAGTTCTTGAACATCGCGCTCTTCTGATCCCACTCGATTCGGAAATAGTCCCAGAGTGTCTTTTTCGGGTGACTCAAGAGGTACGCCGTCATTGCTGCATCGGCGGCTTTAGCATTCAACTCCCTTTCGGAGAGGAGTTCCTGTTCCTCGGTAAACTTCACGAGCACGGGGCAAACGTTGTAAAGATCAACAAGGTTTTGGCCAGGCTTTGAGGAACCAGCACTATCGCTCAACGAAGCGAGCGGGTGGCTGTGGACCGAACCGACGCACGCAAAGAGAAGAAGGTGAACGAGAGTGGAGTGCCACATCGTGTCGACAAGCGAAAAGGAATAGTGACTGGTGACCAGCACTTGCTGAGATCGAGGGTCATTTTTTCATAAACAGTTCGCTCCTGCCAAGTGAACAGTGTCAACTCCACGTGCTGGATCCCCTAACTGACGTACCCCATTTTGCATACATTTACTCTGTCAATGCGTCGAACCTTTATCTAATAGATGTAGGGGTGAAGCTGATCGCAAATCGCCAAGTGATAGAGTAGGGTAGGACTGGTGACTAGCCTAAGTTACGTATGGACAGATTGATTCATTTATGTACCAGAAGCATCGCTTCTGTCCGTGTCTGCGCTGACACATATTGTTGACAGCATTTAACGAATGGCTGTAGATGCGTTAGCGCCGGCTAGTTTGATTGGAGCTTAAGTTTTTTTGAGGTGGTTCTCACTTCAACCCACCGTCGTGACTCGGACGTCAAACATTTCTTTCCTTTTAATGTTCTTGTAAGGAATGACCATAGGTACATCGAGGCTCTTGTCACCAAACCTACTCCAAGCCAGAGTTTGGAAGACACTTTTGCGTCCCCAGTGGGCGATTACTCATAGTCTGCGAGTGAAGCAGTGTCAGAAGAGAAGGTGACATTCTGGACCAGTGACCGCCGAGCTGTCTGACTCCATCGCCCATCCCGCTATGTCCGGTCAAGGGGGACATTACGTGCTAGCGTATGGCGTAGTAAGGGGCGTCGGTTCTGTCAGCTCCCTTTTCGCAACAAGAAGAGGAAGATACTTGGGTTTCGTGGTGAGGGAGCGAGTGACCTCGAATTGGCGCTTTACATAGGACAGGTCGACTGTCTTTTCCTGACTCGACCTTTTTTCTCTTGCTCTTTTCCTCCTGGCTCGCACACCGGTGGTCTCTACTTATCACTTGCAATATCTCTTCTGCCAGCTTCAAGACTACGTTCATCTGCACGCAGGTCCAGCAGCTGCTGAGCTTTGGACATCATTTCGATCATGGTTGAGAGCGATTTATGTGCATCCAAACGCTTTCAATAATCGTGAGTCTGCCATTTCTGATCCTCTGTATTCACATGCATGCATTGGTTGAATTGTATTGTTGATTTGACGTACCACTATTAACACGCAACGTGTTAATAAAAAATGTACGCGCTCACCTCGAGTAACCAGCCACTAATAGTTCTCGCTCGGATAAGATGTCCTCTGATATTGTAGAACAGGTATTGTAAAATTCGCCCCACATCGGTCATACTCGAATAACTTTTATCCTCATAACTCAGACCTCATAAAACTGGGGGGCAGGGTCTGGAGCTCGCTCTTTAATTTCGGTAATTCTGTTCATAGAACTGAATCAATTTACAAAAATCTGGCAGACACTGCCCATGTGCATGATGCTCTTTAAATCTGCATTGGCTTAAAGCCCAGGCCTTTGGGTCAATTTTGTGATGCACACACCTGATTGGCTTAAAAACGATCAAAGGTGAGTATGATCACATAAGCATTTGCTAGACGCTCACAAGCGAAGGCTAATCGCGTTGCCCAAGTATACTTCACTGTGTTAATGCATACATTAACAGCAGCATACTCCTTCTACAGTCACTGCTGTTGCATAATTTTTGCGACTTATTCACTTCTCCGAACTAAATAGCTTACATTAAGGGGTGAGCGCCAGAGCTTGCTCCCCTATATTATACCTTGGACATAAGCTTCTCCAGAACGATTCATATTCTACGCGAGCTTTTTCATTGTGTATAACGCTGCCGTCGTGTGTGGTTGACCGCCCGCCCATGTTCGACAGCGACAATTCCAGAAGACGTGCCGTTGCGCCATCGCTTGACGACCGCACCCTCGAATCTTCAGTGCACAGCTTAAACATTCCTAAGAATACGTCCTCGAACTACAAAAGCCACTCCTTCTGCTTGATGAGCTGGCGCCCAACTTGAAATGCGTAGTCAGTCAGTGTTTCCTTAGAACGCTACATCTTTTGGGTTCAAAAAATCCTGTCTGATGCGCTGTGCATTAAAATTGGTGCACCTTCGAAATTCCAGTGGGTAAATCACGATTGACCGAAGTTTTACTGTGACGGCTCTAGATTAAAATAGCCACTGTAACGGGGTGAATCGTTACATAACAATAAATAAGAAATTGTTAAATAGAATATAACTATAAGAGTTATACTCTCAGAATATTGTCGTAAGGACAAATATTCTGTAGCAATTACGAGTAGTTCCTAATTGGTTGATATAGGCCATTATATCAACCAACGAAGACGCGCCACGACAGACGCACGCAATGAGTGGTGAGCAGATAGTTGATATGCACATTTGTATTTGAACGTAGTTAGATGAGGATAAATAGTGATTTACTGCAGACATTAACTATGATAAATACAGTGCTACTTCTTACTTTAACCAAGTACTCGCTTCTTCTTACCGTCTTCCTCTGCACGTACGAGTGTACGTGAAGTTCCGAGGCACCGCCTTATTCTGTCATCAGAATAAGTAGCTTGTACTGTTACCAGTACAAGCTTGAGGGTGCCCCGTTACACCTGGTAGCACTTCGTAGCCCGTCCAAGGACCACGTTCACATCCAACATGGTAATGTTGGATGATGAAGATGACCAAAGCTTTCACGCTACGCGTGACGGCTACTCCCATTTGAGCGATGTCGAATGGGATGCGGTTGAACGAATGGGTTCGAACATGGGCATCCAGGCTGTTAGCGTCATACTAGAGGCTATCAATAGAGATGCCCAACATGCTACTACCGCCAAGTTCATTCAAAATGAACTTGACGCCGAACGCGAGAAAGTAGCCTTGCTTCACCAACAAGGTTCTCAACAAGCAGAGTTGTTGAGAGAACAGGGTGCTCAACAGTTTGAACTGTTGAGACAGCAGCAGGCTGCTGCTGGTGGGTCGATGCACTCGCGTCGACCCGAGACTTTGAAGATTGACATCTCCAAGTAAAGGGGAGTCGAAGAGGACTCCTTCTTGAGATGGTTCATCGAATTGGATGACGCCATAAGGGCGCGTCGCATCGACGATGGGGAAATGCAAGTCGCATTTGCCCAGTCAAATATGGCAGGACGTGCTAAGACTTGGGCACTGGGGCTCAAGTTGCACGACCCATATGCGTTTGGGTCGTTGGAAGTCTTCAAGTCGCGGCTCAGACAAACGTTTGAACCGCCTAGAGCTGAGTTCAGAGCTTGGACTGAACTCTTGAAGCTCAAACAAGGTGAGCGTGATGTGCACGCTTACGCGCAACATATACGACATCTTACGAGTTGTACAAGTTCCAACCCGGTTGATAAATACACGTTGGTTTCGGTGCTCATGCAGGGTCTTGCGGATGGTCCCGTCAAGACTCACCTGTTCCGACTTGAACTAGATTCACTAGAACAAGCCATTTCCATTGCGGAACAGGAAGACTTCAGTCTGAGACAGGCTCGCGCCAGCTCGACATCATATCGTCAACCGAGACGATGTGACAGCGGAGGTCCAGAGCCGATGGAACTCTGTGACGTAGAGAGCGAGAAGACTCGCTCTACAGACAACAAGAAGTTGCAGAAATGCAACAGATGTCAGAAGACAGGACACTACGCTTACGAGTGTAGTGCCCCTCGTCCAGTGTCTCGCGACACTGGGCGTAGTGAACGTCCGCCCATAAGAAAGGGGCAGGGACGCGGGTCCGCTGTTGGTGCAAAGACGCAACAACGGGATGGACCGTCAAAAAACCGACAGGATCAGTAGGTGCGGAGCACCCTACTGGTCCAACAACGTCAAGAGAATTTGTAGGCCTCTTGACGAAGGTTGCTCCCAACACACAAACGTTGTGCGTTGCTGCTCTAGGTAATGAGGTCTCTCTCATTACCTTGAAACTCGAAGTGACGAATAAGTTGTCCCTTCGAGCTCTAGTCGATTGTGGGGCGTCCAACAATTTTGTGCGACGCCAATCGCTAGAAGATGGTCACTTTAAGTTCAGTGAATGTGACACACCTCCTACGAGGATGACGGTACGTCTTGCGACAGGCGCATCCGTAACCGTCATGAAGCGTATAGTGAAGATCCACTACACGCTAGAAGATACCCAATATGACGATGACTTAATCGTATTGGATTTGGATGACAAATTTGATGTCATCCTTGGAATACCGTGGCTCAGAAGGTACGAACCACGGGTAAACTGACAACATCGAACAGTAATGATGCCTGCCGCTTGTTCATCAGATGGCCATCTGATGAACGTTTTGGAGCGTCCACAAGCGTGTGGATGTACTACGAGTGAGTGCGATGGCCTCACTTGTGGTTCGGTCGTTAGTACGACTGCACAAAACCTTAGTGTACCAAACGGTTACACTTCGGAGCAAAGTTCCGGCGGCTGTGAGGAAACACAGGCTGCGCCGAAAGTCCACCACTCGAATAAGTCGAGTGGACTGGGACAAAGATGCATCCCTAGCGGGGAACATCTAGAAGAGAAACAATCGATCGCTCAGGTTAAGCGAAATGATAATCCTATCGACTGGAGAGTCTTTCGTAGAGGATCTTGCTGTAGTTGCGCAACCCCAGCTAGAGGAAGTTAAGTGAATAAGTCCCGATATTATAAATACGGCGGAAGTAAGTTCCCCGAAACCCGAGGGGATTAGTCCCCGGGAAGCCGAAGGAAAAAGTCCTTCGAGGCCTGAGGGAATAAGTCCCCAGGAAATGATAGAGACATTGAATGTCATAGTCAATAACAGATCAAGCGTAGGCGCTTATACACTTGATCTGATTGCGCCTCCGAAGTTGACTTCGGAGATCACTCAGTTGCCAACGCTCGAACATAAAAGGTTCGTGCGTGATCTGCGTAGTGGCAAAGTCAAGCAGATCTGCGTACTCGTCGCTGACGACGAGTGCGTAACCGACATAAGGTCAGCAACAGTGTTCACTGAGAACGAGAGAATTCTCAGTAGTTCATCTATGGACGAGAGTGCCCTCGATGATTAGACACGAGTTGAGCGATATGACTCCCAATCGTGGGAATCGCTCAAGACAAATCCTCTCTATGAAGATTTGGTTGAATTTAAAGATGTATTCCCTGAAACTGTTCCGTGCGAATTACCGAAGGATAAAGGTATTCGACACGAGGTCGAGCTTAAACCAGGCTCGAAGTACTGTGTCATGAAGCAGTGGCCACTGCCTCGTGAACAAGTACTTGCGATCGACAAGTTCTTTGCCGATCGTTTAGCTGCGGGCCATTTGAGAGAATCGACTTCCCCACATAGCTCTCCGACCTTCTGTGTGCGAAAAGCAACAGGAGGGTGGCGGATAGTGCATGCATTTAACAAGTTGAACGCTGCAACGGTACCGGATCACACGCCGATACCGAGGAAGGACGTAATCATTGATGGTATGTCAAAGAGTACCATCTTTTTGTCCATGAATTTGGTGGATGGCTTCTATCACATCCTTTTGCGAGAAAGGGACATACCCTATACCACAGTTAGCACGCCTAGCGACATGCTCTGGGAGTGGCTAGTAATGCCACAAGGGCTTAGTAATGCCCCTGCCACGTTCAACAGATGCGTATCACATCTGTTGAGACCGGTACGAGAATTCGCGCCGAGTTATTTCGATGACGCACTCATCCATAGTCGGGCTATGGATGGAAAGTCGGATGCTGAGGTTCACAGGTACCACGTCCGACAGGTTCTTACAATCATGCGAAAGCATCAATTGTATGCAAACCTCAAGAAGTGTATATTTGCAGCAAGCGAAATGCCACTTCTTAGGTGCATCGTTGGTAAGAACGGTGTACGTCCTGATCCCGAAAAGATCAAGGCGATCACCGACTGGCCTGTGCCGGTCGATGTCAAAGGTCTTCGAAAATTCCTTGGGCTAGCGGCGTATTTGCATAAGTATTCACGCAATTACGCCGAGATGACTGTGCACCTCTCTCGTTTGTTGAAAAAGAACGAGAGGTGGTTATGGAACGCTGAATGTCAACGCTTCTTTGAGGGTATCAAGCAGAGCTTGATACAATCCCCAGTCCTAGCAATAGCCGATCAGGACAGGCCATTTCATGTGGTCTGTGGTGCCAGCGATTTCGCAATCGGCTGTGCATTAATGCAGTACGGTCTTGAAGGCGTTGAACGCGTCGTCTGCTATCAGTCGCGTCAGCTGCAACCAGCTGAGCGGAACTATCCAGTGCATGACAAGGAACTCCTTGCCATGAAGTGTGCACTCGCGAAGTTCAGAGTCTATCTATTAGGAGATAGACCCTTCGTTGTTTACATTGACCATGCGTCATTACGCACGGCAGTGAACAGCCCGCACCTTTCACAACGAATGGCGCGGTGGTTGTCATTCTTTGCAGAATACAACTTTACGGTCGAGTACAAACCAGGACGACTTAATGTCGTCGCTGATGCACTCTCACGTCGTCCCGACTTTAAACCAGTCGTGAAACCCAACAGTGAGACAGTCACTGTTGCGGTTATGACGTCCTCAGTCCCATCTACAACGTTGTATGATGATGTGAGGCGGGCATACGCCCAAGATGGTGAGATAGTGAAGTTGTTGTCACATCTCTCCCAACCATCTCGAGAATCGTTGAAACGATTGTCGTCTGCGTATCGATCTGCATCAGATCGATATACTACTCGTAACGGTTTACTGTATTATACAGCCGTTTCTGGTGACACACCACGTGTTGTCATTCCAGATGATACTGATCTGCGTTTGCGGATCATGTTCGAGTATCACGATGCTCCTATAGGAGAACATCGTGGCCGGGAGAAAACATATATCACGGTAAGTCGAGACTTTTACTGGCCCCGCCAGTATCAGTTTGTGCGCAAGTACATTCGCGCATGCGAAGTCTGTCAACGAGTGAAGTCAAGTACTTCACTGCGTGCACCTTTACAGCCTCTACCAGTTCCGGCAAAGTGCTGGGAATCGGCTCAATGGATTTTATCTTCGGGTTACCCAAAGACGCACGCGGGAATACGGGTATTCTCGTATTTGTTGACAGATTCAGCAAAATGGTACACCTTGTGGCTGTACCAGAGACAATCACGGCAAGTGGCTCTGCTTGTGTCTTTATTGACACCATCTTCCGACTTCATGGGTTGCCCCGTGAACTCGTATCAGACAGAGATCCACGATTCACTGCTGATTTCTGGCGTTCCGTGTTCAAATCACTCGGAACGCGCTTGAAGATGTCTACATCTGATCATCCAGAGTCAGATGGTCAGACGGAACGTGCTAATCGTGTCCTCGAAGAGATACATCGAGGACGCGTACACTCCTTTAAGAGTTGGAGTGAGTTCCTGCACATGGTAGAGTTTGCCATCAACAACTCGGTGCATGCGTCCACGACACATACACCGTTTTACGTGAATGGCTTACGCCATCCGCGTGTACCCACCTTACTAGAGTGTAACTCTGGTTTAAGGGGGGGAGGAACTCGCGCGAGCAAAAACCGATTTGGTTCACGCTCATCACGCTCTGACGAAGACGTCATTGCGTTTGATGCCGATATCGACAACATCGATATCGAAGAAGATGATGCCAGTGAGAGCGCGGAAGCCCTCACTGAAGAAAAGGTTGATGTTGCTGCAGTGCGCTCACAGCGCACTGAAGCTAACGAGTCATCAGATGATTTCATACTGGCTCGTGAAACGGTAGTCCGTTTTGTACAAGACTCCATCGCCGAAGCGGTGGATAATCAAAAGCAAAACGCTGATAAGAATGGAAGGGCAAACACCCTTTTGTTTAATAAAGGTGACTTATTCCTACTGTCTACGGTTAATATACCAAAGCATGTAGTGACTAACTTGGGTAGCAGTAAACTTCTACCCAAGTACATCGGCCCATTTCGTGTCTTGCATCTTCTAGGCAACGCATACACGATCGAGTTGCCACGTAAGATGCGAACGCATCCCACGTTTTAAGTTGGTCGGCTTAAGCCGTACCATCAGTACGCTGCTTCTTCCGATGAAGAACGCCCTTGCGCTCAAGCATCTCGCAGAGAGCCTTGTGCTCCCGATGGTGGGCATCGACAAGGGTCTGAAGAGCAGTTATCTCAGCCCGAGACCGGTCAACAATCCCACGAGCTACCCTTGGCTCGTCAAGCAGAGTTGTCAAAGCTCTCTCGTTCTCGATCTGAGCAAAGGCAAACTCAGCTCGATGCTTCGAGACAGTGTCCGCCATTTGGAGACGCCTGTTTCGCTCGTGTTCGAGATCGCCGCGTAACACTTGCGTTACGCGATCAAAGAGGCTCTCGGGGATGCACGCTTCCCCACGATAGCTTGGAGAGCGTCTTCCCTCCTCTTCCACCTCCATTAGAGGACTCTCGCGGTGGCCAGCGCTATCTGGTTGAGCAGCTGTTGAATCACCGCGACGTGAACGGACGTCGGACGAGTTATCTCGTCCGGTGGCGCGTCAACCCCCCGTCCTAGGATACTTGGGAGCTCCGCTCCCAACTGATGGTTGACATTCTGGGTCTGGTTGATCAGTACGACGCGGCACATCCTGTGCCGCAGAAGGACCGCCGGAGAAAGTCTTCCCGGCACGGTCGTAAAGGGATTTCATGTTGTCAATCCCTTCGTGCATCTCAGTAGAGATACGTACGCGCCACCACGGGCTAGTAAGGAGGTAAGCCTCCTTAGGTGCTCGTGCAGAGTTGTTCACACAACATGGGCACGAGTCTCCCCATGAGAGGCAGGGTAATCCTTTCTCCCTTGACAGACGATGCAGCTTGTAGCGCGCACCAGTCGGGGTTCGCTTTTCAAACTTATCACGAGCTTTGATAAGTTTGTCGTTCCAAGCGTCACGACCTATTTCTTTAAGGTTATGGATGTAGGCGTTCTACGCTTGAAGTAGTGAGGGACCATCACGCTTGTGATTCCCACTGTACCATCGATGTCTAAAGAAAGCATCGATGAAGAACTCATGTTCAGCGCGATAGTTTTTCGCGTTGGGGTCAAGGTGATGAATTCTTGACGAATCGAACAACCGTGTTCGACAACGATCACTCGTAGTCGCCGACAAGTGATCCATGACAGATTTGGGAGGCATCCATGCCTTCTTCTCAGGAGCGAGACGCAAGACATTGCGGTCCCGCTCTTCCTGCGACGTGCCGACAGAAGGACTGGCACCTCGTTGAGAAGTGGTGTCCATAGGAGAACCGACACCACTGTTAGCGCCCGAGTCTCGCGACCTCGAGCGTCTTCGCTTCGGCGATGGTTCATCTGATGAATCAGATGAACCAAAGATGCTACGACGCATAGCATCATCCGTGCCACGCTTGACAGGCGGCTTGGATTTGATCGCCGTCGATACGGATCCGTCTTCCGTATTAGGAGAGTATGAGACACCGAGCTCATACTCTGTGAAGACATGAGTGTCTTCATGACCAGCGCCTGCATCACCAAGTGACACAGGCTGAGTCGCTTCAGCAACCGATGAGACATCAGATGCTGTGGTTTTTGCATCGGCGTCCGCACAGAGACGTGCGGACGCGCTCTCGGCGGCCTTGCTCGCGCATCGCATGGACTATTTTACCATGCGATGAAACTGATGGACTGTGGACTCGGACCAACAGTGCAAACCCTGTCCCAAATGATTTGGGACGAGTATCCATTTAGTCAATCAGTCACTAAAGTGACTAATGGTTAAGAAGGGGGGTGATGTAGCGGGGTGAATCGTTACACAACAATTATAAGAAATTGTTAATAGAATATAACTATAAGAGTTATATTCTCAGAATATTGTCATAAGGACAAATATTCTGCAGCACTTACGAGTAGTTCCTAATTGGTTAATATCGACCATTATATCGACCAACGAAGACGCGCCACGACAGACGCACGCAATGAGTGGTGAGCAGATAGTTGATATGCACATTTGTATTTGAACATAGTTAGATGAGGATAAATAGTGGTTTATTAACAGACATTAAATATGATAAATACAGTTCTACGTTTTACTTTAACCAAGTACTCGCTTCTTCTTACCGTCTTCCTCTGCACGTACGAGTGTACGTGAAGTTCCGAGGCACCGCCTTATCATGTCATCAGAATAAGTAGCTTGTACTGTTACCAGTACAAGCTTCAGGGTGGCCCGTTATAGCCACCGTGTCCAGCACGTGGATGGCGTCCAGATGCATCACAGTAGTTTATGTCTTGTGGCGGTCGAACATGCCACCCGGAATGCAGTTTAGTGAAGCCAAGAAAACAGAACACTGAATCGTACAACTTTGGATACAAGTGACACGTGCCCTACTTGCTCGATGGACGATAACCAGTCCTAACGACGACACGGCTCAATAAGCGCCCCCCCCAGAAAAACTGGCGGATGTTGGCGGTATGATTCCAAACAACACCTCCACCTCCTGTATATTCGCAGCAAGCTACATATGACGTGAGTCCGTCAACGCACACACATGTGCATCGTTCACCGTTGCACAATTGCAATTTCTTCAAGACCTGCCGCTCTTTTTCTGACACGAAAAGAATGTAACGAGATGGTGTTGCGTACAGCATTGTTCTACGTCGATTGGGAATAGTGTTGGGACAATGCGGGTTCAACTGGCGGACGACTATGTTATTACGGATAGTTGAGACACCAAGGTTGCATCTGTGCGAGCTTCTAGATACGATGTTCTAGAAGCTAGTGTATATACGTGTTTGCAGTACTACAACAACCAGCAAGTAAGTGAGACCTACCGAGAAAGCTAAACGATAATTCACCTTTCATTTTTTGCTGCAGAAGACAAGCGAGTAGCTAAGTGCTAAAGATTATGAGCCCAAGCTCGGTAGCCTCAGGTAATATTCTCACCGATGAAAACTACTTCCTCTGGGAATTTACTACTCAAATGGCACTTGCTCGGAAAGGAGTTCTTGAGCACGTGTTGGAAAAGCCAGATACCTTGCAGCAGTCAAGCACATGAAAAGCCGACGATCTAAAGGCTCTGACTATCGTCGTGAAGTTAATGTCTCCCACGTACCAGACTATGGTGAGAACGGCACGGTCTGCGTTTGATGCGTGGGATGCTCTTCGATCATTTTTTGTACAGCAGAACCTTCACAATGAGGTACAGCTACAAAAAAAAGCTGAGCAAGGCACAGCTCGATGAAGGAGGAAACTTAACAAATTATCTCATGCGGTCTAATGAGCTGTGTTTAAAGCTCGTAGCTCTTGGCGAGACGATTGGTGATGATGAGGAATTGGTGATTCTCTTGGGAAGTTTTCCTCAGGAGTACGACATGATGATACGCATCATCGAAGCAAAGAGTGGCGTGACCTTAATGAAAACAACGGAGATGCTCCGGCGAGAATATGAAACACTCCAGAAACGTGACGATAAGGAGATGGTGTTCCAGTTTATCAGTCGTAAGGGTCGTAGGGGTTGTGGAAGCCAGCAAAAAGGCTCAAATCACCGCGCGTGTCATCCCCATGATAGCAACAATTCTAGGCAAGGTGTGCAGCTCAAGGGACGCTGTCATAAATGCAAGCGATATGGGCACAAAAAAATTGTCCAGCAGGAAGGTCTAAAAGCAGTGACGAGTTTGTTTCTTGGCAAAAGCTCGGTCACAGAATAATGAACATGTTACTTGGTTTCTTGATATCGGTGCAAGCAGTAATATGTCAAGTGACAGAAGAGATTTCATAAGCATGGTTAAGATGAATTCTCCACTCTGGATGACAGTGGCCAATGGACAACAAGTGGAGGTCAAAGGTTGCGGCAGTGCTCGACTTTTTTTCGAAAACAAGAAAACTGTCAGGATTACTGATGTGATGTACGTTCCGAAGTTGGACAGTAAGCTGTTGTCGGTGTCAGCATTAGCTTCTCGCGGCGTCGTGGTTCAATTCGATTAAGATCATGTAACCATATCAGTGAAATACTCAGTTGTCGCTGTGATAACAAAGGTTGGACGATTGTTTGCATGGCAAACCGGACGCTCTGTTACGGATACCGCCAGCAGTGCAATGGTCGGTTCTAAAGCCGATAAAATCAAGGAATTATGGCACTCACGACTGGGTCATGTGTCTGATGCTAACTGGACATGATAAGCAATGCATGTTATCGAAAACCGAACCTGAACCAAAAGGTGAAGAGGGCTTCAATTTATGCAGTGGGTGCGTACGTGGAAAGATGGCTGCAATTCTCTTTAGCCATATGTGGCAAAGCGGTCACAAGGAATTCTATTGGCACTTGGATCGGCGATCGCACGGATCGCACGCTTCAGTTAAGCCAAGAATGCTATGATTGGTGGATACAGGACGGGACGGGTAGCTGGCAACAGCGTACCCATACCCCAAGTGGACAGGATCGTCCAGCCTGGGACGAGGCTATAGGGTGGTCACACCCGTTTAGATTACGCAATCCGTCGTGAGACATGGCAAAGCAAGACCCTCGATCTCACTGGAAGAGCACGATCCAAACCCAGGATCGTAAGTCCGATCTCAGCCACGATCCGCTAGTAGGATCACGATCCGCTAGTAGGATCACGATCCGCTAGTAGGACCACGATCCGCTAGCAGGATCAAGGGGATATCTTGGGTGGGTCACAAGAAGATACAGCGGTTAATAAACTGGGTGTGGACCACACAAATGCGAGGGGACGATCTTCCTGGAAAGGCGACGCGTGGCATCTGGTTAGGATACATGGATAGGCAAAGGGGTAGGGTTTAGGTTGGTTGGTTGACATTATACAGATTTAAATTACTTTACTAGGCACACGTTATCTCTTCCTGGGAGGATCTTTGGACCCCTTGTCGAATGAAGAGTCGCGCTAAACGTCTACGCAAGCACCACACCTGGATCGTTTTGGCCAGGTTTGTTCAAGAACTCTCAAGCAACGTCAACTGCGATCGGACGCAGCAAGACACTTAAAGGCAAGGCGCAAGATCGCGAGACGTCTCAAGTGGTCAGAAGGCTCGCGGATTAAGCAATCACATATTGGACAAGGCGATCTCGTTACGATCAGGGTCACTTATATCAGTACCCACAAGTACCCCGTGATTGCTTGAAGATTTCCGCACGATCACAACCCCATCCCCAACACGGTCAAGTTTTCCTTTGACACAAGTCCACCTGGAAGAGTGCAACCCGACCGACCGGCGGCTACACAAGGTGAGGAAGGCAACACACACGGAATAGGAGGATATCCTGCGTTAGTCAGTCGTCCGGGCGCCAGTGGAGAGTTGGGATCGACTCATAGAATGAGCGATCGCCACTACACCACAATGGTACTCGTGCCCGGATCTTCTGGTGACTCGGGATTTCACTGTGAGTCCCTAAGTGAAGAGGAGAAAGTCAAGACTGAACCTATGATGGAAGCATTAGAGGAAAAGGGATCGCCTCCGACGCGTGATTTAAGGATCACCGGATTATCAGAGTTTTGGGAGAAGCTCTAATTACAAGAAAATCAAAGTGGAATATCAATCAGTCGATCTGAAAGATAAACCTCGACTCCCTCATAAGGTACCTTTGGGGGTCATCACCGCGGATCGTGCTGCAGAACACGATCCGCTGGGTAAAACCCTTCAGCAAAAACTGAGCAAAAACTACACAAGACCACTCAGGCAATATCAAAGAAGACGATTTTAAAGACAGATCGAGTGAAGAAAGAAGAGCCTAGATCGGATCAACACGATCGCGGCGTGAAACCGATCAAGTTCGTGGACGAGGCTCTGGATATGAAGATGGAAGGCTGGCAGAAGGATCAAATGGCGCAGGGATTCCATTATAAGGCGCTCAAGAATCAGCCATCGAGCTCCCCCGTGCTACGGATACTTAATTCTAAGCTACACGGAGAGATGCAAGGCCCGATGTCCCGGCCAAAGGTGGCGACTAACGCAGTAGAAGGGATCAGCGCGATCATCCAGCTACTGCAAGATGCTGGATACGTCGCTGGGGCGTTCGATGCGAACGAAATGCTGGAATGCGATCAGGATCAGGTGATTCATGCGTGTCGATCGCTGTATGATAATCTAATGCCTCTGAAGGGAATTTGCGAAAGCTCTGATCAAGCGGTAGCCACGATCGCCGATGTCCCGAGTGGGTATGATACCGGATCTTCACAAAATGCCTTGGCGGAATCAGAGATGGAGTCGGACGATTCCGTCGGCATCCAGCTAATGTCTCTAGGCCCAAGTGGTGCAACACATCTACGCGATCGAGTCGAGTCGGTGAAGCTGAACTCGCGGTCGAAGACCACAGGCGCATAAAAGCAGATGACGACTAGTATGCAAGGAATCCTGCAGACATACCTCGATGAGGCCATGGAAAGTTTTCGCCTGGATCAACGGGAACGAGCGTATCCAGCGATCTACCCTAGCTAAAGAATCAAGCCTGCTAGATCCCGTGAAAGATATAATCCCGATGTAAAGATGGAATCGGTGCAGTCGCGCATCAGTCAACCGGAGGTTTTCGACCCTGACGACATCGATTCCGATGTTTCGGGATAAGAATATCGTAGACACGCTATGGTAACTACGACCGAGACGTTGCAAGATGGTGGTAGCATACCTCAGTACATTCGAGTTTCGGCAATGATAGAGCTAAAAGAATTCAGTGGCAAGGATCGAGATGAAGATCGAGCCAGAAGCTGGATCAGCAAGTTCAAATCGGCCTTCTTGCGCGATCAAGCACCCGATGAGAAAAAGTGTTTGATGTTCGGAGATCTGCTGACAAACCCGCTCGAACCTGGTATAACTAACTAGGTCGATCCACTCGAAAGAAGTGACAAAGATTGCTGGATGATTTTATGGTACAGTATGAAGGGCACTGTGTGTTGCTGGCCAGACAATACTATCTCGCACGGAAACAATCGGAACTCCACAGGAGTACCTACGCTGCCTAATTGTCGCGGCTAAGCATGCTAAGATCGCGATCAGAGACTAGAGGATAACCACACCGGACACACGTCGTAAACATGTGGAACATTCCATTGCCACGTTGGACGATCGCGATATGGCCAAGCAGCTGACCCTTCCACGATTGGCCAATGTCAATGATTTAAATGAGACAATACGTGCATACCAAAGTATGGAGACTCGTCAGTTGAAGACATCGACAGGATCAAACAAGTTTTACCAGCGAGCGAATGCCATCCCAAATCCTACGCCATCCAAGACTGCTCGGGCGATGAGGGCAATCCGTGAGCGGATCGAAAGTAGCGGATCGAAGGTCGGACTCGATAGGATCGGATGAAGACAAGGGTTGCCGCCGAGTTTGTGTGAACACTACATCTAGTCAAGAGAGATCGGATCAAGATCATCGTACGTGGCAGAAAAATACTGGTGAAGAAGATAGACATGGTCGTGGTGGAAAACCGAAGGCATGCACCCACTGCGGATTGACGCATCATGATGATCGTGAATGTTGGCAGAGACTAACGTGCCATAAATGCGGTCGCAAAGGGCATCCATCGGACAAGTGCTTCTACGTATGTGCAGCATGTGGAGAGGTACATGAGAATGGCAAATGCCCCATGAAAGAGTTCTTTAACTTGATTTGCCAGTGGTATGTGCCTACTAAGCATGCGGGTATGTTTCCTCCGAAATTCAAGGAAATGTTAAACTAGAACGCTCGCCAGGTTGGAATCTGGCACGAGATGAGCGTTCTGGTCTATGCGTATAAGCATCTGTTGAGAAGAAGTCGGATGACCAAGGAGTTAAGGATCGGCGCGATCCGATCTCTTAATATATGTGATCGTACAAAACGGACCTCTTTAATTCCAAGTGTGAAGCGAGTGGACTATTATGCCCAATCCCCGGTGGGGATGGAGCTCGATCTCATCCTAGATGTGTGGAGGGGATACTGGAAGTATCGTACTCCGATAAAATGGTATAAACCAACAAAATCAGTGGGAAAGATCAGCAAAAAGAAGGCCAATTTTCAATTTGACTCTGGTGCGGAGATTTAAATTATCAACAATACCTTTGCTCGTAAGGTGGAGTGTGTGATAGACGAGAACCAAACACAAGAATGTGTTGGGTTTGGAGAGAGTACTTAAATGACGGTAGGACGGATCACGATCAAGATCACACTGAACGGATGACTAGTGTAATATTTTTATGTCTGGGTTGGGGATCAAGTCGGTCAAGAAGCTATACTAGGCATGGAATTCATGTTTTCTGCAGGCATCCGTTTGGATTTGGCCGACGGAACCCTTTGCCTGCCCGATGAAGTTCGAATCTGTCTGGCTGGACGAAGACCACCGTACCGATCGACTATATCGGCGGTCAACATTAACGATCAACATATAGCCATCGCGGCCGGCAGATCGGCAGAAGTCAGGGTCGGCTTCAACCCTCCTAAATCTAATCTCTGGGTGCGACGGGATGTGGCGTGGATTCCTACCGTGACGAATGGTCCCGGAAGGATTAAGTTCTGCAGCTTGCATATGTAAGCGATCGTGACTTGATCTTAAACTGCGGGGTCTTTTTAGCGTTGTGGATGACAGAAGACATGATCTCGCGATCTAAAGGATACGTATCTGTAGGATTGCGTCGGTACATGTAATGGCAGACGTTGGCTTTTGAAACCACTACAGATCGAGAAGAAGAAGAAGCCGAAGTCTACACGGGCCCTTTAGTGGATTATCCTACGTATGAGAAACACACCCAATTTTGACACGCTCAAATGGAAATCAGACGACATCAAGGCTTCTGCAGAGATCTCCTTAATATCCGACTTTAATAGTGACTCTAATGAGGAGTTACAGGAAGAATGTAGGAATGGAAAGAATAACGAGGACAAGGATGATATATCGACAATGAGATTGTGTGCGTTCAACGCAGTGCGGAAGACGCCAGACATTCGGGTGAAGAGGACTTGGCTGCAGAGGAGGCTATGATAATGAAACACAACCATGAGATAACTGATCCGCTACAAGGACAGTCCAACTGTCACCCGGACGGGATCAAGGTTGAAGATCGGAAAGTTCATGGCCAGTCTACACGACTGGATGACGACTTGAAAGCTGGAACGATCGACGGCGAAGTAATGGAAAAAATGCACCGGATGAATCCACATACTACCATGAAAGAAGTGAACTGTTCGCGAAAGATGTGGAACAACACATGGCTGTGCTGCCGGAGGTAATTATATCGACGATCGAGATAAATAATAGACGATGTCCAGGTTGGCGATCCTGGAATACCCTTGACAGAGGAACAAGAGGATTTGCGACGACTGATATGGAAGAGTCGCCGCCTGTTATCGGGAAAGGATATGCATTATTCCCTGCAGCACGCGGGGACGTTTGTGATATTGATGTAGGAGAGGCGAGGCCGATCGCTCAACGTGTACGACCTATTGCGCCAAGGTTTCGTAAAAGTTAGCCGATCTGATAAAAGGCCTGTCAGCCAAGATTATCCGACCTTCGACATCGCCGTAGGCATCACCAATAGTCGTGATTATTAAAAAAAATGGAGAAGATGTCCGACCGTGTATCGACTATCGACAAGTTAATTAGCTAACACATCTGATGGTGTACCTTGTACCGCTTACCAGTGAATTGTTGCAGGACATGGGCAAAGCAATGTGGTATTGTTCGCTGGACATGGCGAGTGGATTTTGGGTGGTAGAGTTGATCGAACGAGCAAGATCGGTCTCTGCGTTTACCGCGCCATCATGTCTGTTTAAATGATTGCGGATGCCTTTTGGATTGAAGAACGCCCCACAGATCTATCAGCGTTTAAAAAATAATGCTTTATATGGTTATCTCAAGATCGACGCAGATAAGGATGTGAATGCAACGGATCATACTAAGTTAGCCGATGTTTATTACAGAGGGAGAGCCGGAAACGGATCAGGCGCCGTCAGTGCTGGGTAGGCGATCTATGTTGACGATGTATTGATCCCGGCTACGTCATGGACATCTTTGTACGACAAGGTCGAAAGATTATTGACAGCATGCGATCGATGGAATTTGTCGATCAGTCTGATCAAGCCTTTATTGGGGACGGCGTAAGGTGTATTAATTAGGTCATCAGGTATCTTTGGCTGGGTTGAAGGTCAATCCTAAAAATCTAGGATCGCTGACCGACAATCCTTTCACCACAACTTTGCGATCCATGCAATCGTTCCTGGGTAGCTTGAACTATTACAGTCGTTTTATAGAGGATTTTGCAGTATGTGCGTCTGTGCTGTACGAGTTACGGGAGGCGGATTTTTTCGAGATAAGCCATATGGGAGATCGTGAAGCGATGTCGGGAAGTTGCGATAACACGTTACAAGGGGGTGAGCATGATCCAAATGAGCAATCTCGGTGGGCAAGGGCCTCCATTGCATTTACTTTGCTGAAGGCCACGATCGCTACAACCCCGATCCTCAAACAATTCGATCCAGATCGGCTTCCAGTGATCGTGGTAAATGCTAGACAGTGGGCAGTATCGGCATCTCTATTGCAAAAATCTGACGGCGTATACTGGCCGGTGATATTCACGAGTCGCACACTGAAGCCTAAAAAAGTTAATTATGGTATGGTGGAGAAAGAAGTTGTAGCCCTACTTCGAATCTTGGAAGTGTGCTACACCATGCTTGTATCCCGAGAGATCGGGGTGCTCCCTAGATATCCGACATTAGCTTGGCCGGTTCAATCTTCTGGCCTCAATGAGAGACTGGAAAGATGGGCTGCGCTGCTATCGAATTGGACACTGGAGGTCAAGAGATGTAACAAAGGAGAGGATGAAATACTAGGCGCTCTCTCATCTAGTATAACTCCGCGAGATGAGGTGTTTGATGTGTCGATTGCGATCGCTCCACAGAAGTAACCTAAATAATAGGTAACTATGCTATCCCCCACGGTAGGTACAAATAAATGCCTGTTGGTGGTCAGTTTCGACGGATCGGCACGGAATAAACGGAAGAGCGGGGAATATAATGCGATCGTGTGAAAGCTACCTGAATGGACCATCATCTCAGCCGCTTCAAAATACGCGGCAGATATGACGGTGAATGCAGCAGAACATCGTGGCATGTTGTTGGGTCTCGATCTGCTGGACAACCAAACTAGGGGACTAGTCATTATATGTGGTTACTCAAACCTAGTGATCAGGTAAATGCGGGTAGTAATGGATTGTAATGCACCCTGTCTACAGTTATTACGTCACAAAGCAATGCAGAAACTTAGATCTTCGCCAAAACACGAGCTCCTTCACATGAAGAGGGAGTGGAACCAAAGCGCGGATCGACTAGCCAGTGCAGCTTTGCAGCAAGA